TCTCTCTCTCTCTCTCTCTCTCTCTCTCTCTCTTTCATATTCCTTCTCCCTTTCCCTCTTGGCCACAATTATATGAGCTACTCTTCTCTGCCAGTGTGCTTTTCCTTCCCTAATATGATGGACTGATATCCCCAAAACCACAAACCAAAATAACATTATTTTAACATAGTGATGCTACATCTGGCTCACACATGTATCCTACCTACTTTGGTTGCCCCAGATACACAGGTTCATCTCTTCAATTTTTCAAAGCAGTAAACTGGGGCAATTAGAGGGATTTCTTTCTGTTTTCCATTTCTTAGACACCATCTACTTACATGACTTGCAGTCCAATGTCTTGAAAGCGTAGTTCATATAATTTTTTCCATTTAAAGATTTGATGCAGGTATGTGTAAGGAAGGGAGAAATTCTAGTTCTCAAAAGTTGTTTTTTAACTGATTTATGAGTGAATGAAAACATTTTCCACCCTACGTTGGTAGATGTCAGTAAATATATTAAAGGATGTTGTATCAGTATAAAAACAGCTCTTTTTTTAAAAAGCAATTTCTTTTCAGGGAAGGGGAGGTTTAGAACAACAGCTTTACTGACACTTAGAAGGACCATATATTATATGTGTTGCAAATTCATGTCTTAAAGGACTTTTATGTGCATTCACTCATTTGACTATCCATGGTCAAGGGCAGATTTTTAAGGGCAAGGCTGTTATTAAGTGATACTCAGGAATGCCATGATTTGCTCAGAGCTACACAGCTTATAACCATCATTGCAAGAGATGCCATTTCTGACACACTTCGCATGTAGTGAGCAGATTATCTGGCCCTGTAGCAGGGAGGAGGGCCAGAAAAGAAGCAAGCAAGTCTGTGTTCTGATAAAGTAGCAGGAGGGAGGGGATGGTATAGAAGGGAGATAAAACTTAGGGAATTTAAATGTGAGAAAGGTCACTTTGGGGCAGGGGAGGGGGGGCTGTGGGGGAGGGCTGGAAGTAGCCAATTGAATTGCATGCAACCATATATGGAGTAAACCTAGCTTCTTGCTTCTGTAACCTGTTTGCAAGGTACACAAGGTAAGGCCCCTTTGTTCTGTGGCGGGGGGGGGGGGGGGGGGGGGAGTGGAGGGGTAGGGAAATTCAGCCTTTGGACTCCAGTCTGCTGAGTCTGTGCTGGCACAATAAAACGTTTCCTGCTGAACTGCCTTGGAGTCCCATGTCTCTGTTTGAGAATCCCACAACAGCACTACATTCATAATCTCATTTAATCTTCCCCCAAAACATCTGAGGAACTGTTATATTATTCCCATTCTAGAAATGGGCATACTAAAGTTTGGAGACATATTACCCTACTAAATTTACTCAGATAGTAAGTATTAGAGCTGGGTCTTACACCCAGGCCACTTGACTCCCAATCCAAACTTGTAAATATTAGCCTGCCTTTCAGCTCAATTGCTGTCTTGGAATTACTTTAAAAAAATAATCTCAATTGATTCAACATTTGGCATCTTACCTCTATTTTGAAATGGCCAAAGTAAGGTACACTCTTGGGAACACTACTCCTCATCTATTCCATGTGAAACACAAGGACTTTGGTGGAAATGCAAGTTGGGTGACACTTATGATGTTAACAAGGTTACTATTAGAGACAGACGATACTTTTTATGGCAATTCACTTTGTTCATTTTATCCTCAATTTCTTTATATGGGTATTCACTTCTTAACTTTTCTATATAAAATGTTGTTCCCTAACCATGTCCCAAACATCTAACATTTTAAATTCCAACTTGCTTCATTTTTTCTCTTTAATACTTATCACTAATACATTACTACATTGTACTAATCCTGTCTATCTACTTCACTAAAATTTAAGTTTTCTGTAAACATAAATTTTCTTATTCACTATTATATTCCCAGCACTTATTGAAGTTAATAAATATTTGATTAAATGAATTAATATTAATATTTAGACAGTGCTGTTAGGATTTATGTTATATCAAAGACTTGTGCAATGGAGTGGGGTACATGAAACTAAGTTTTAGAACCATTAGGATCTACCTACAGATATTCTCACTGTTATTGTGTGTATATTATCTGCCCTAAGGGATACAACCATACAAAAGGAGTAGAGAAAAATTCATTTTCATATTAGCTTCTCCTGATAATAGCATAAACTCCTAATCTTGTTATATTATGGAGGGATGAGCCTTAGTGAGGAGGTAGTACCATAGTCCTTATCAACAGATCATATTGACTCAGAATGCATTCAATGCTCAGCAATTCCACTTACTAGTTACTAAAAATACTATTAGTCACTATTATAATATGGTAAAGATTTTTATTTTGGGGCCTCAAGATATTCTTCCACCCTTTGATACTGTACTGAAATCTATTGTGTTTAAGAGGCTGGAAATATCTTTCTTGTGAAGTGTATAGCTTTCATCAATTTTGCTAATATCTGTATGTTCCTTTACTTCCCTGAGAATCAAAGACCAAGTGATACCATTATAAGACAAGGTTTGTGATGTGTTCTTTGGTTTTGTTTAAATTTCCTTAAGGCTAGCCTTAATCCTAGTATTTTGCAAGTTCTAAGTAATTCTATCCCTTGCATTTACACAAATACCTACAAAGACCAGAGCAACAAAACCACAATAGTTTCACTATTATTATAATCACCTTTTCAGAGTTTAACTCATTTGCCACAAGTAAGAAACCTCACACAAATTAATGACACAATACCACATTTTCTTGTCAATAACATCTAGGCATATCTCTCCTAAGAATGTAATTTTTATGGAATAAGAAAGCACCATGTCATATCATCTTTAGTGCCTGGAAAGACTAAAGCACATACTACATGCTCAGTATATTTCTGTCATGCAATGATGGAACTGGATATTAGATTCAAGTCTTTTGATTATAAATCTCAACATATTCTCATTTAGGTTGTGAAATTAATATAAAGAGATATAAAGGATTTCAAATTTTTCCTAATGCATGTTCTAGAATTTAATGGAAACAAAACAATGATATACTTTAAAACATTTGAAAAGCAGCCACTCATGAATATTTTATTTCTTAATAATCTCAAATTACCAACTACAGAAAAACTTCTGCATCATCTTCTAGGGATCTAATCACTGTTATGGCTACTTGTTACATTCCTCCTGTCTTCTTGTCATCTGCATGATGCATCATATTCTGAATCTTGCCTGTTCATACATTTATACCTCTGATGCATTTCCTGATCAGGTCCTCCTCATTTATTATATTAATCCATTAAGTTATTCTCTAACACATTAATCAACCTGTTAGATAGAGTATCCTTCTAGAAGCTAAGTGATGAAAGTAAGGGAGGCCAGTGACACAGGATCAAGATTAATAGAGAGAAAAGAGGTAAAATTTTAGGAAAAAAGGTAGTCAATAGCTCATAGATAACAATAATGTTGCTATATTAATTTTCTACTTATGTAATCCCAGCATAATACCCCAATAGTATTGGTTAATAAACAAATAAATGCTCTCATTGTAATATCTAAAGGCAAAAGCGAGATCTTATAAGCTTTTGCATACATTCAATTTTTCTTCCTTTCTTCCTTCCTTCCTTCCTATCTCCCCACTCCCTGACTCCCTTGTTCCTTCCTTCCTCCCTCCCTTCTTCCTTCCTTCTTTCCTTCCTTCCTTCCTTCCTTCCTTTGTTCCTTCCTTCCTCATTCCCCCTCTTCCTTTCATTTTGTTTCTTTGGTCATATCTTACTTCTCTTACTTTGAAAACTACACTATGTAACAAGTCTGTGTCCCCAAATATCTACAATTTTTCTGCAAAGATGTACCATGGACCTGATGTCAAGAAGATAGTTCAAAGTATGCTCTTAAGTTTTGCTTGGCAAGTTACATTAGATTATAAGTACATAAGCAAATATATCAATAATAAATATAAATTAAAATTCCATTAATGGTTATCTCAGGAATCTGGTTATAAGGAAACTTATATAAAGTTATAAGGAAACTTATAAAAGTGCATTCTAAAATAATTCATATTATCAAAGATTCACTAAATTCTACATTAAGATGGAATTTCAATTGCCAAATTGTAACATTTTCTTACATAACATGAAACATATTTCTATTATATAATTAGATAACAAGCTTTACTTTCTAAATGGAAGTTCAAATTCTTAAAGTTTATAGATAAATATATCTAAATGCTAATAATTTAATTATACAAGTATTTTGGGCACAATGACAAAGTATTTCAAACATTTCACATTAAATTCTAGGCAGGAACAAGTCAGATTACTAAATTACTTGATTTAAAAATAATATATGTGCTTTGACAAAAAAGGCTAATATGTCAATCTTTATCTGTTTCTTAGAATGAAGATACACTTGTGTGTCCATATTTTAAACTTTTGAGTATAACAGAAGTTTAATATCATTTATACATTTCCTAATATCAAGTTATCAAAACTTCACCTCAATTTTTCACTAATTTGGAAGTTCTTTTATTAAGTGAATCTGAATTTTTTTCAGGCTAACTCATTAAACAATAGTCTCAGTGGATGTGAAAATAGTCATGCTACTTGCAGAATTATCCATAATTTTTTGACTATAGGTCATTTTTAAGTTATTTGAGAACAAATCCACGAAGCACTAGCAAGTTCAGATCACATAAATACATCCAAGTTTCAGATCAATAACGTAAGGTGGCTTTATAGAGTAATGCTTCATTTAAAAAATAAAACTATTATTTACTTCAACAATAGAAAACCCAAATTTTTTTACAGTGAGTAAAAAATTATTTTTGAAAACTAAAAATACATATAATTCTCAATTTAATAGTAAATATTGCATGCAATAGGCCTCTAACAAAGCTTTTAAATAAACATCAAAATGACCAACTGATCCTAAATTGCATCACTTAGCAAAAAAGATTCAGCAGTATTATTGGGTCTAATATGTGCATGCTGCAGCATACTATGTTCAGAGTTCAAAGACAAGTAAAACACAATTACCCTAAAAGACATTTCAAGATTCTCTCCACCCCAGATATCCATTCCTGCATCGTAAGTTCCTATCTCTTCAAAGTAGTTTCTGTCAATAGAAAATAGGCCACCAGCCATAGTAGGGGTCCTAGTTGAAAAAAAAACAAAAAGAAAAGAATATCTTTGAAAACAATGTGTGGAGTTTAATGAGACTGTAGCAAATATTTTTGACATTTTAAATATAAAAAATAGTACTGAAAAAGTTCAAATGGGAAACACAAAACCAAGATGTAAGAAGTTTCTAAAATTTTTTAAATGCATTTTTATTTCCTGTAAAACTCAATTTATATTGCTTCATGTTTTTCCTATAGGTGGTCAAATAGAAGGAACACTGGCCACTGACAACTGGGGCTTTTACATTCCTTCTATAAGATAAAATGAAGATAGGTTGCTGCCCTTCATACTGTCTCATTGTCCTTAAAGAGATTAACTGGTCATGAAACCATGGGTATGAATTTTGATCACATAATTATAAATAATTTTAATGTGAACTCTAGGATCCTGAGGACATACTTTCTCTAGGAAAAGATTCATATAGCCTATATAAATATGAAAACTATTAATTGCTATGAAAATGTTTATAGGAAATGAGTATCTAATGATAGTTACAAAGTATTTTTAAACTAAAGAGCTTTACATCCAATCATTTATTCTTCTCCTTACTTAAATCAAAGGATAGAATTAATGATCTGACCCTATGGATACACACAAATTCCATCTGCTATTTAGAGGTTTAGAAGGACTTTTGGACCAGATTCTAAAACTTTTTACTATAGGAATGTATATGCTTCAGATTCTCATGACTGAAATTTCTGTACAGGAATGAAGAAGTCAAATGTTAAGTTTTTAAAAGATTAATTATTTTTTTAAAGATTAATTAAAGACAATGGCTAATGTGTGAGCTATACAAGTTATTCGATATAAGCAGTGTGGAATAAAGACAGAAAGCAAAATTCTTGGTGTTCACAAATTGAACCACGCTGGTAATGGTGAATTTGAAAGCTAGTCATAGTACATGATACATGATACCTCCATGGCACATTAGTAGCATCTGAGGCATCTTTTTAAAAAAGATGTTCATGCTTGTCTATCACTCTCCCCAGACTTAGACATAATTGGACAGAGGTGGGTACCAACTGATATTGTGTCAAGCTTCTTGGTGATTCAAATGGCCTGCCAACAATGAGAAATACTGATCTAATAACTTAGATTTGGTATATCTGTGTTAGCAGTCTGTGAGGTTGTTTTAAAGCCAAATACTTTGCCATTTCTTGAAATTAAATCCTCCTCTGCCAAAGGTTATGCTCATGTCTTCTAGTTAAGCAGTACAGTTCATTGAAAACTACCAAATACTGTAACTGGACATCAAGTATATTGCAAAATTCTCTATTTCTCTCAGTGCTCTCACTGCTTTATAACAGGTAATTAACTGTCCATCAGTTGGAGTAGCAGACACTTGCTCAGTCTCAGAGCTGTTTTATTACTTCTGTTCTTGTGGGTTCCTATCATGAGCAACATCACTGACCTTCTGAGTTATAATGAGCAACACTAACAAAGCTAAACAGATGGTAATTATGGATTAGCCATGACCTCACCTGACTGGGGTTTTGGAACTCTGTGGCAATAACTATATAAGATACCACAGTGCTACAGAGTATATTTAATAAAATTAGGAATAAAAATTGCTGCAATTATCCTATCATAATTCAACCAAATGCTTAGGAATGTTAAGTGATGCATTTTTAATGATCAGTTCAGACAGCATATCTACTTATCTGCTTACTGGTGAAGAATGAATACTTTTTAAGTTAAATATATGTATCAAATTTCATTGTACAGTTGGCCTCAGTTCCTACAAATATGTGAGAAATGTGTAATTCATAGCTCAAAGTAAATTACATTTAACCCTAAAAATGACTCAAATAACTCTTACTTATATTTGAAAACCATCCAAATTTTTAAAAAATAGCAAGTCATCAAAAAAAATCCCTTACTTTCTGAAGACAAGCTATTAGATTTGTGTTTGTAAAATCAGTTAACTCTCTCAAACAGTCCAGAGATTGTCCTTTATAATGTTTAATACCTATAGCCATAACTTATGCTATGCAGCATGTTCTGTTGTAAGTTAACTGCTCAGAAATATCCTGTGAACTATTTACATATGCTTGTGTGCACCCTCAGTGTTCAGAATGTCTAGAAAGTGAAAAACTTTGATGATAGTTGAATTAGCTGAGATTATTTACTTTTCAAGGTATGTATCAAAACCACCAACCAATTCAATAAACTTGGGATGGGTGAGGAATAATCATCTCAAAGACTGTGAACACTCCATACCACCTAGAAAGGTGAAGGTGAATTGAATTAATTAATAGAAGTAACACACTTATTCCAGTGCCTAACACATAATAAAGAGCTAATGAAGTGAGATAATTTTTCTTCATTGTTACTGTTGTTAATTTTGTGTGTCCTTCACTTAACTTTGGCTTCTCATGTACATATCCTCATTTGGGGTATCAAAATGATCACAACGACTTCATATCTAAGGTACTGACTCTGAAATATGCCCCTCAAACACAACTTCTTATGTTTTAACTTCTCCATTTCCTTCAGAAGTCCCTTTTCATCCTATGTTGGTGGTTATGGTTCCTTAAGTCATAGTCTACACTAATAACCCCCTTTTATTTCCTTCTCCTACTCCCAAGGCCTCTTCAAGGTTGTGCCATGACAGTGAAACACTAACTCATTACCTTTGGTTCTCTGTCCTTGCAGAGAATTGGGTATCTGACCCAATTCTCTTTTTGCAATTCCATGTTTCTGGATAAACTTCTCCTTTCCTTTATCCACTACTGCTACTAAGACCTAGAGAATCCCTGGAGAAATAATGAGATGAGGCCACCTGGTTATACAATTCCCTAGTATTGAGTCTCTGCTTCTCAGAAACTGACAGCCATCATTTCGTCCATGTATATTTGTTAATCTGTTCTATTGTTAATGAATCTTTTCTAAAAGTTTGGATTCTTCTCAAAAGCATGGAGATTAAAACAATGCACAATATTGAAACTCCCTCAGTTATGATATCTAATGTCACTCAAGCTAGATATGTTTATGTACCTTCTTCATGACCTTCTCATCTCTCTTGTTCCTCAGGAAAGAATATCCCCTTTCCTCTCATTGTGGGCTAACATTCATGCTTGTGCCTTCATCCGGCTCGCTCCTGACTATTTTCAACTTCTTGTTCACTGACTTGATTTACGCTTTATGCCTTTGATTTTAAATTGTCCCCTTGAGCTGACAAACCTGCTCAATTAAGTTTTTTTTCTTAAACCAAAATACATTTTTACTCTATCTCACTACTCACTTGTACTCAGGAAATACATTCCTATTTCCTTTACTGATAACCTTATTGAAAGGATACTTCCTAGTAATTCCCGCAACTCCTTTTTAAGTAGAAGCTGGATCCTGCCCTCTGCAGTAACTTCTGAAAAGTCCCCATTGATTCTGAACTTCAGCAGCCCTTCCTTTACTTCTTCCCCTGAAAGCATTCAACACAATTCATCCTCCATCCTACTTGAAATTCTTTTTACCTCTAGCTCCTATTGCATTGTTTTTTAAGGGCTTTCCTTCTGCCAATTTGACTGATCATTATGTGATTGCTATTGATAGCTCTCCCTCTTTCTTTATTTGGGTGACTATTCTACTTGGGACAAGTCCTTAGTTTTACATCCATCACATGATTACAATACAGCATCATAATAATTTGGGGTATATATGCATTTAACAATTATCTTCTCTTGTTCAAAATGCAGTCCTTCCAAGGGTCTCACTTGGCACTTTTCTCTTTCTGTGTTCTTTAACTGTTTAAGATCACTCGTCATATGCTTTTAACAGTCACTTCCATGAGGCTGACTCCTTAATCTGTTTTGTCTCAGTTCTTCCCTCTGCATTAACTGTGTTTTACTAATTACTTGCTACATGTCTTCTTCAAAAAATCCTCTAGGTTATTATTTACAATGGTCAAATAACATAATTTGTAGACTTAAATTCAATGTTTAGATATGCCTTAATCTCTGTGTCTCAAATATGACAAATTATAATAAATGATAAAATGAGTGTTATATTTTCTATACAAATTTGAGAAAAGAATAATTGAAATCTTCACATGTTTTAATTTTTTATCATAAGAAATAATGACTTCTTGGCTAAGTGTTTTATAGAATTAAAAATCAAAGGAAAATTGAGTGCTGAGGGTTTCTCTCCTTCCTCCTTTATCCTGTATGCTACACTCACTGTAGAAAGCAGAAGAGAAAGGAAAGAAACAAAAACACAAATACACTTCTATTAGAATGATATATATCAAGTGTTGAATGCAACTAAAGATGCTTACAGACAATGAAAAGCATGGTGGAATATTATGACAATATTTGAGCACATGTGTTGGTATGAAGAAGCAACTTTCTATAGAGAAGGAACTGTTTCTTTAAGGATTTACGCTGGCTTAAACTCTGAGCAAGGAAGCTTACTCAAATCCTTAGAGTCTGTGAAACACAAACCATTTCAGTGCTATTTTCAGAGAATAAAAGAATATAAAGCTATGTTTAGTATGGGAAAATGATTTGTTTTGCTGTCCAAGGATACATGTACCAACAAGTATGGAAATCAAATACCTTAACCTCTGCATCAAAACCTTATTTCTAATGGAGTGGCAGTTATTTTTTTCCTTTTCTCTTAAGTTGACTTTTATAAACCTCATAACCCTAAACTTTTTGAAAAGATGCATAGTAGTTAGTGCAAATTTTAATGTTTCCTTTTCCTTTTAATTTTTTTTTCTTAAGAGGAGTCAAAATGAACAATGGGGATAGCTGGAATCAGGTGCATTAAAGTACTTTGGATAATATGATAACATTATTTAGTATATAAATGTTATATTAAATTCATCACCCTAAAAATCTCATACTACCACTGTTTTATTCTAACCTCAACAGATTGATAAGAAAATCCTTAGGCTATAACATAACATAATATATAATAATTATGCTTTTTCTGTAAAGATATATATTCAAATATTCCATCTAGATGTGAAATACTACA